CATTAAGATGTAATTTAGACCAGTTGGCCTGTTCATGGAACACAGCTGTTCTGGAAACTATAAATTTATTATTATTATCAATGAATCTGTACCCTTTGGTGCCAGTTTCATATCCCATAAATCTTAGTCTTCTGGATACGTTTTCTCCCTTTCTTCTCAACTGTTTAGGTATGTGTACGTCTGCAGTGACCCCAAATATGTGCATGTGTGCTAATTTTGGTTTCCTATTATACATCACCTCATATGGTGTCTTATTCACAATACTGGACCAGGTTCTATTTTGAGTGTAATTTGAATAATGTAAGGCTTCTGACCAAAATTGTTTGCCTAAACCAGCATCCTCTAATGTGCACCTAATCATGGTTTGTAATGTGGAATTCTTTCTCTCTGCAATCCCGTTCTGGAACGCAGAAAATGGACTAGACGTGTAATGTAGCATTCCTCTATCCTTTAACCATTGGGAGAATTCTTTAGACATGAATTCACATCCCCTATCTGTCATAATTTGTTTTATTCTGATATTATGTTGTGTTTCTATGCGTTTGTAAAATTCCTTAAATTTTTGAAAGGTTTCATCCTTGTGTTTTAATGTGTAAACAAAACCATAGCGACTGTAATCGTCTACTATTGTTAGGAAGTAACGTTTCCTATAAGTGATTGATGGAGTTAATGGGCCAACTAAGTCCATGTGTACTAAGTCAAAAATTTTGTTAGTTGATCTGGTGGATTTTTTTGGCCTGGGACTAGTTTTCAGTTTAGTAGATTTACATACTGAGCATTCCAAATAATTTTCACAATTTTTTATTTTGACACCTTCTGCGTGTTCAGTCATTTTTTGTACTACAGGAAAACTTGCATGTCCTAACTTCCTATGTAAGATGTGAGCACACTCGTCATGAATTGGTTTACCTATTTTTGGTTTCTTCTCATTGTGTGTATCTGTGTGATCATGAGATATTTTACATTCATCATTGCCACTGTTACTAATATTTTCATCATCTGCCTCAATACAATCTTCCATATTTGAATCAATGTTATGTAACCATCTTTCTTTTGTTATCAGATAGGGTAGGCCTCCTTTAATCATCACAGTGCCTACATTTGTTTTATTCTTTTCTAGAATTGCTTTTCCCTTTGAGAAAACTATATTGATGTCAGAATCTCTGCTTAGTTTTATGGCACTTAGTATGTTATGAGGTATTTCTGGTATTAACAATACCCCCTCTATTTTTCCTAGACTAGGCAAGGTCACATTCCCTCTGCCTAATACTTGAACTTTTTCTTGATTAGCTACCTTTATTACAAACTTATCTTCTGTAAATGAAGACAATATATTTTTGTTATTAGTGGTGTGATTAGTTGCCCCAGAATCAATAAGCCAATTATTGTTTTCATTTTGTTGCGTTTTAGTGCTGTCTTGTTTATTTAGTCCATTCAGTGAACCAGATTTTCTCTCTTTTGAATTTTCTCTGCCCCCTCTACTTTCTCTGTAATTTGGTGGGCTTCTATATTTATGTCTATCTGTTGAAGACTGTCTATAATTGTATTTATTCCTATATTCTGACCTATGTCTTTCCTTTGAAATTTTGGGACAATCTCTTCTATTGTGTTCCCTGGACCCACAATTGTGGCATTTAAAAGTTTCATTATATTTTTCTTGGAAAGCTACCTTCCTAAAAGATTTGTGTTCTGTGTGATTGCTATAACGATTTTTTCTTGAATTGTCTTCTGCTATCAATTTGTTAGACAGACTTTCTATTGATAAATATCCTAGATTGATGGTGTCTAAGTGTGACATAAAACTATCCCATGATGAATCAAGTGAGTTGATAATAACACTTTTCATTGTTTTATCTGAAATCACTTCCCCCCTCAAATGCAGCTCAGCTCTTATTTTGTTTAAAGATATTAAATGCTCACTTATGGAAACCCCTGGTTTTACTCTGGAAGAAAAGAAGTCCTTAGACATTCTTGTGGTGGTAGCTACACTATCGCTGTGAAACAAATTAAACATGCATTGAATTATTTCTGAAACAGTTAGATTTGGTTTGATGCTATGATACATTGCAGGAGACACGCTAGATATTATTAAGAAAAATGCCTTATGGTGTAAATAATCTATTTTTAAAGTCCAAGGTCTTCTTGGGGGACTAGTGATAAAAAATAGTAAATTTTCTTTCATAAAAACAACCTGGAGCTGTTGATACCATTCTTGTAAATTAATGCCATCAACCCTAAGTTTTGGGAAGTCACTGGGTAAGTTACCCACATTATTTTGTCCATTACTTACAACCTGAGGTAGTCCGTGGTCTCGCAAGTGTAGGAAATTGCAAAACGGCATGGGGATGCTCGCCACGAGTCTGCGCGGTTCTCTGGCCAGTTCAAGTCTTTCCGGACCGTCTACGTAGTTTCGCACATGCGCGTTGTTCATTTCTTCTTTGACGTCGTCGTGGAAGGTTCTCTCCATTGTAGCTCGCTCGCTCCGCTCCTCTTCAGACGAGTCGGTCTCTGGCTCGGTCTTAGGAGTTCTGATGGCGGCGACTGTTCTTCTCTTTCTTTTGGGTGCGTTGGCACTTGCTTCGGTCTGCGGTGTAGGGCGGAATCGACATGGCTCTCTGGGCTCGGGCGTCGTCGCTCTCGAAGTCAGGATGGGAGCGTGCAGGTCTTGAAGTATCGGCTTGTTCGCTTGCTTCTTCGTTGGCGCTTTGGAAATTTTTAATTTTGGCCCAAATGCAGCAAAAAGCGTCTTCATTGCTGACTTTACTTGGGATTTCGTTAAGTCGTCTTCATTTTCTGATTCTGGCTCTTCCGAAGAGTTTGAATCCTCCTTTTCACTTTCGTTGTCTGATAACGTTTTTCGCGCCAGAAATTTTGAACTGAGCATTTTGATTGGCTCTGCTTCGCTCACTTTGGAGGCTTGTTGAAACCAAGATGGCTGCCATTCAAAATTTCGCGCGGGATCACATTTTTTCTTTTTCATAACGACTTTCTCTGTAGTCATATCACTCACAGTTGTTTGGTCTTTGGGTTTCTCTTTAGCGATGTTTTTCTCTCTCGCTGCTCCGCTGTTCTTCAGCATTTCTTGGAGGTTCGCGATGAGGCTTTCATCATTCTTCTGGCTTTTTAATAACTTCAATATCTCTGACCTGAGTTCGTTATTTTCTATTTCGATTTCCTCCTGGCCATCATTTTCATTTATTAATTCTTCTTCTTCAGTGGTGTATTCTTCGGATTCTCTCGAAATCGCGTTTGTGGATTCGTTGATTATTTCTTGTTCAGTTTCTATTTCTTTGCTGTAGGCCCTGGTGTTGGGCCTATCTTTCTTAGACATTTTTAGGTATTTATTGAGTCAATGAACCATCCTCTGCTACCAGTTTGTTGCAATATTTTTAGGATCAGACTCAATAATAATAATGAGAGTTAGAGGTTTAAATATATTTCTCTTTAATTATAATAGGCATTCTATATTCACTGAATATTCACAGATAGAAGCGAAGAAAATGGTGAACGTGGCTCCTTATATATACAAAGGGTGGAGCCAAGAGTGGGAGTGGTGAATTATGAATACATTAAGAGTCAAAGAATAAGTTAACCCCTGATATCTCATATATACATTATTTACACATTAGGGAATAAGGCATTTACATCTGACAATTTTCTTGCTTTCATACAAGTCCACTGCATATGATAATAAGTACCTGGGGTCAGGTAAATCCATTTCTCTTATAGGGCAGGTAAAAAGTAGACCAGGTAAGGACTCCCACATATCCTTTCCCAAAATGGCAGCTTCAAGATTCATGTTTCTCATTCCCGGCAACAAGGGAATTCTGGGAGTTGAAGTCCATACATCTTAAAAGTGTCTGAGAAATACTGAGCTATACAGGAAAAGCTTCTACTTGTAGGTTTATCATCTCACCTTGGGATCCACGCAGGGCCATCCCTGCCCCCAAGAGAAAACTTACCTGTCTGTCTCTCCAGTTTTCAGCCACCTCGTCTCTAAACAGATTACTTCCTTCCCACCTCCTGCGGTTCCTCTGGTTTGCCTGCAGCCCAAGATGTCATCTCTCCCGTTTTGGAACAAGTTAGGTTATAATTAGGTTGATGAGACTTAAGGTGAGCCCTCCTTGCTCTTTAGGTTTCCACCTGCTCACATAAGAACAGGTGCTGCCCTTTCTCGTCTCAGGAAGACAGGGAGGGAAGAAAGAAGGAATCAGCAATGCAGGAATTAGTACAGGTAGTCCTCTACTTACAACAGTTCATTTAGTGACATTCAAAGTTTGCAACGGCACTGAAAAAAGTGACATTTTTTCACTTGGGACCATTGCAGTGTCCCCATGGTCACAAAATTTCTTATTTGGATGCTTGACAACTGACTCACATTTATGACGGTTGCAATTATGATGGGGTTATGTCAATGGTGAAATCCAAATTTTTTTACTACCGGTTCTGTGGGCATGGCTTGGTGAGCGTGGCAGGGGAAAGGATACTGCAAAATCTCCATTCACACCCTACTCCAGGAGAATACTGCAAAATCTCCATTCCCACCCCACTCCAGGGGAAGGATACTGCAAAATCAGCTGGGACTCGGGAGGCAGAGAATAGATGAGGGTGGGGCCAGTCAGAGGTGATATTTACCGGTTCTCTGAACTACTCAAAATTTCCGCTACTGGTTCTCCAGAACTGGTCAGAACCTGCTGAAACCCACCTCTGATGTGCAGTCCTATATATCCTGAATACACACACTCTCTCTCTCTCTATATATATATATATATATATTAGTGTTCAGGATATATAGGCTATTTTTACATATATGTAAAATCCACTCTGTGGCTCCAAAAGCAAGCAAACCACATTGCAAATGGATTTAGAACACCGTGTTTAACGAAACCGAGATATATTCAAAAGACTCGGCCCAGAGTTCCACTGTAGCGGACCACTTTTAAAACCAGGTTAGTCACTTGAAGAAGCCCACTCCCCAAAAAACAGAAACCCAAACAGGCTGCGTTTGTCTGAAGTCAGCTTTATTTTCATGCTCTCAGGCTTTTAAAAAAACACAAGGGCAACACATGTCGCTGTAGCCTGAAAAATCGTTATTTACTGCACCACAGATTTAACATAATTACAAAAAGAAGTGGCCAGGGGGGGTTCAGGGGCAGCAGCTGCATTTGTTCAGGGAAGGGTCTTTGCAGACACAGCCTTTCGCGCAGTTGTCACAGCTGGCGGGGCAGCAGGAACAGCAGCCTGGAAGGAGCAGAGAGAAACAGGAGTTGAAATAACGTGAGAAATGGGGTACAGTAATCAACTTGGGATACTTGAAGGCAGGGTGGATAAAAATCAATGATTTTTTTAAAAAAATCAAAAAAAAAATCAGATTTTTTTTATTTAAATCGGATTTTTTTGATTTTTATTGAATTTATTTTAATAAAAAACTTTTGGGGTAAAAATCTATCGTAAGATAGTTTTCTATTTAAGATACATCAATAATTTAGTTTATTCAGCATGAAATGGAGCTTAGTTATGTAGCATGAGGCTGTGTATTCTGCAACACTGGGACTATCGGTGAGTCAACAGCGGGTCAAAGGAGTAGCAGAGATGACAGTTGCTCTTTAAAAATTATGATTTAAATCGAGTTGATTTAAATCAAGCCTTTTTACTAGTGATTTAAATCATGATTTAAATTGTGATTTAAATCAACTCGATTTAAATCAAATCCACCCTGCTTGAAGGCATAGCATTGGGTTTTCTATATCAGACTGAACCGAACCAGTTCAGTTCCCACATTCAATCTCAATGTGACTCACGTTTCCAAATGGACAGTCGTATTTTGCCCCATTTACACACCCCAATAAAATGTTCAACCAAGAAATTTATTGTAGCTTCCCCCCTATCTATAAAACCTGGTTAGGTTGACCCAAGACAAGAACATCATCCTTGCTCAGAATAAAATTCTCTAGAATGCATAGGGATTAAACCTCAACGACATCGTAATGGCATACACCTTAGAATTGAGCTGGAAGGGACCTTGGAGGTCATCTAGTCCACCCCTTGCTCAAGGAGGAGACACTATACCATTTCAAGACAAGTGGCTGTCCCAGTCTCTTCTTAAAAACTTCCAGTGTTGGAGCATTCACAACTTCTGGAGGCAAGTTGTTCCACTTATTAATTGTTCTAACTGTCAGGAAATTTCTCCTTAGTTCTAAGTTACTTCTCTCCTTGATTAGTTTCCACCCATTGCTTCTTGTCCTGCCCTCAGGTGCTTTGGAGAATAGTTTGACTCCCTCTTCTTTGTGGCAGCCCCTGAGATATTGGAAGACTGCTATCATGTCTCCCCTAGTCCTTTTCATTAAACTAGACATACCCAGTTTCTGCAACCATTCTCATGTCTTAGTTTCCATTCTAATGGAGACTTCATAGAGCAATTACATGAACTGAAACTTTAACATATTTCAAGAGCATTCGCTCTATATCTAAACCCACAGACACTTATTCATGATAGTTCCAATGGGACTACTTAGTCTTGTCAAACCAGATGACTTACAGCGTCCCCTCTTCTTCTCAAAAACCTTGACCTTTGGATTTGAACAACCCCCAATTGATTTTCCAGAAAATAAGACTTACTTTTTTTGCACGAAGTACATTTGCAGTTTTTGCATTTGCAGGATCCATTGCAGGAGCAAGAGCTGCCTGAAATGTTAAAGAAAGGAAGGGAAAGAACAAAGGTAATTGGCTGAAACCATGATTCAAACCCCTTTCATTACAACAAGTTATCTCCAGATACAGGAACAGTTCACAAATTTCTTTTCTCAGCTGAATCTTTTTTTGCCCGCTTTCCAGGACAATTAAAATTTGTGCAGGGCCTTAAGCAATTAAGACTTGCTCAAGTTTGACATCAAGATGTAGCATTGAACAACTTGGAACAGCTCTCCGCTTATTGGGGTTGCTAGTTTCATGCCAAGGATCTAGGCCAGGTTTCTATGGAAGCCCCTGCGGATTTTTTTCCCCCAGTCTCCGGGAGATTGTCAAAACTGCTAGACTTGTAGAAAATCAAGATATTTCTTCAAAGGAACTAGTGGCAAAGAGAACAGGCAGATTCATGGCAATTTTCTTCATTTCCCAGTGAGTTTTAATTCTACATTTGCAAAAATAAAAATAAAAATACCCAACCCAATTTGGGAATAAATTAGCAACAGGAAAACCAATTTCCCTTTTGGAACAGCTGCTAGGAGTTTTTTGAAACACTGAAAATTTGAGCATAGTATCCCTAACAAGATGGGAGTTTGCAAAAGCTCTTAAAGCAAAAATAGATTTCAGCCTCAGTTTTTAATAAAAGGCTGCAAAAAGGTTTAGAAACCAATCTTTCTGCAAAAACTAAGTCCCATTTCAGGTTAGTGAAGTAGCCATTTAATAAATGTAGCCAATGTAGTGCCGAGAAAGGAAATTTATGGGCATCCTAGCATTTTAAACCAGGACTCCAGAGATTTTTTTCCCCCCTCTTCGAAGTCTCCCTAGTGCGCCCAAAACTCTTCCTACTTAAATGTGTGTGCCTACGCAGAGAGAGGGAAGACACCTCAGGTTAAGCCATGCACTTAAACCATGGTTTAACAGACCTCATAGTTTAATCACATTAAGCCACAATTTAACCATGGTTTTATAGGCTTCCAAAGGCACACGCCAAAGCCAGAACTCTTTTAAATTTTTAATTCGTGATTTTATAAACTGGGTGTTTTAATCTGTGTTTCGGCCAAACTATTTAATAATTTTAAGGGATTTTTAATATTTGTATTATCTGTATTTTATCTTGGCTGTTCACCGCCCTGAGTCCTTCGGGAGTAGGGCGGTATAGAAATTTGATTAATAAATAAATAAATATAAATAAATAAACTACAGTTCTACAGCATGCGTTGCCCGCTTAGTGTCAGGCAGCTGCACGAAATAGTTAATAGCAGCTTCTGTCCGTGGGGGGGGGGCAGCTTAGACCCCCCCCCTAGTTACAGACCAGACACCCAGAAAGAGTTCTGGGGTGTTCGGGGAGAAGAAACGGATCTCTCTTGGAGCACAACTCTTAGGAAGTTGTGGCAGCTTCATCCCTGGAAGCTTTCAAAAAGGAGCCTGGATAGCTCTGCAGACAAGGCACTGCAATTTAACACCAGCTGTCTGCAATTAAAGTAAGATCGAATCCGGCCAGGCTCAAGGTTGACTCAGCCTTCCATCCTTTCTAAGGTAGGTAAATTGAGGACCCGGTTTGTGGGGGCAATAAGCTGACTTTGTATAAAACATACAAAAGTATGAAGGCTATTGCTTAACGCGTTGTAAGCAGCCCTGAATCTCCGGAGAAGGGCAGCATATAAATCAAATTAAAAAAGAGAGAGAGAGAGACTGGACTGCCATCTGTTAGAAATGGTGTAGGCAGGGTCTCCTGCTTGGGCCGGGGGTTCGACTAGATGACCTCCAAGGTCCCTTTTCCAACTTTGCACGAAGGAGACGGATAACCCCACCACCACCGCTTTCCCAACCCATTGAGGTCCGGCAAAGACTCCAGCCCAACGAAAGCCGCGGAGACCATAGGTTCTCTCTCCGCAGCATTTTCCGCGCATCTCTTTGCGCTAAACACATCCTGGCTTACTGGTTTCGGGGCAGCCGGTTCCCCGCAGCAAAAAACCGGGTTTCTAAATTGAGGAGGGGTAGTTTTTTTTTTTTTAAAGACCATGCAACCCCCCCTCCCCCCGCCCCCCAATGCAGGACTGGTGGGAAAGCAGAAGCTTAGACTTACCGGTGGCGCAGCCGCAATTCTGAGGATCCATCGCAACGAGAGAGAAAGAGAACGAGCGAGAAAGAAGCGCAAAAGAGCCCAAGGCGAACGAAACAGGCGAGGATGCTGGAGAGCTCCCTTGCCGCCGGCTTTTTATAGCGGCCGCGAGGTCAGCGAGGCGTGTGCAAAGCGCCCATCCCTCCCTCCCTCCCTGTCCTGCGCACGGGCCGCGGCCGGAGAGGGGGCGGTGGTGAGGATGAGCGCAAAAGATCCGCTTCAGCGCCGCGCGCAAAGTCTCGAGCTCACCCCCCTCCACGCTTTTGCAAGAGGGCGCCCGCGGGCGCCCGCTGTCCCTGGCCTCCGTAGCCCAAGGGGGGTGCAGCAGAAACGGGCTACCTTCTCTCCCCACGCTAAGCCACCCCGAAAATTAACCTTAGTTTATCCCCTGGAGCGAATGTAGGCTCCGGGGTGGGGTGGGGTGGGGGGCGTCATTGATTCGAAACGGGGTCTGGGGGAGCCTCACCCGGTTGATCTCCAGGCAGCTGTGGAGGGGGTCGCCCAAGCCTGCCCTGGGTCCTCATTCTGTGTAGCTGGAAGCCTAACTTCTCCCATTGCTAAATTTTAATTTTAATTTTAAAAGGGGTATTTGAATTGTTGGGCCAAAAATTGTTTAATATGTTTTTAAAACTGTTCTTAAATTTTTGTATTCTTTGTGTTTACCTTTGGCTGTTCATCACCCTGAGTCCTTCTGGAGAAGGGCGGGATAGATAGATAGATAGATAGATAGATAGATAGATAGATAGATGGATGGATGGATGGATGGATGGATAGATGATAGATAGATGATAGATAGATGATTGATAGATTATAGATAGATAGATAATGATAGATGATTTATAGATAGATGATAGATAGATGATAGATAGATAGATAGATAGATAGATAGATAGATAGATAGATGATAGATGGATGGATAGATAGATGATAGATGGATGGATAGATAGATGATAGATGATTGATAGATAGATAGATGATAGATATAGGTAGATAGATAGATAGATAGATAGTGGGGGATCCAGATTGGATCTCCGTGGTGTTGTCCACCTGGTCCGGAATTTTATGGCAGGGGCTTCTTTCTTTCTTTAGATTAGAATAATATTTTATTTTATTATTTGTGGCTCAAAGATGATCAATGGCTTTCCTTTGAGGTCTCTTGATTGTTTTTTCTTGATCACAACCTGCGAAGTATGTTGGAGGAAATATTTCAGGGAGCTTGGAGAACCTCACTGTCTTAGATCATCACCCTGCTGGATCCTAACTAAGATGAAATCAAACAAGGTTTTTCGTAGATTTTATAATCCCCACCCTCCTACACCTTAGCTAGCCAGTCTTTGAGCTCAGCACGTTAGGATTTCAAATAATAAGGACTTCAATGGAAAAGCATTTTTTTTAAATTTCAAAACAAACCAATTTAATCATTTAAATCATCCCAAAAGAAAACAGGGCCAAACTATGTATGCGGATGTTGTTTCCGTATATTTATTTTACAATGTTTCTTTAAAGAAACATTTAAAGAAAAAACATTTCTTTAAAAATGTTTTCTTTCACAAAATGGAAAAGAGACCGAAAGCCTTAAGCCAGCTAGATGAAACAACCGTCAAACTAAATGAAAAGGGGGAAAACATGGAAAACTGTCCATAACTTTCATCTCTCCAAAATTAACCATTAAACTTTCTAAATTAAAGAACATAAATAATGCTCTCTTCTAGTAAAATGTCATGAAGTTGGTGCCAAGCATGAAGTTATGCCAATTTTTGGCGGTAGGTAAAGTTGCCTTTAAAAAGAAAAAAAGATAAATTACGCGTCTTTCAAATCCCAACCACTCAATCAAGAATACTACTTTGGTAGTTTGAGAAACTAAAGTACAGTATTTCTCTTAGCCCATATCCCAAGCTATCTCATATTCCAAAAAGTTGGAATCTTGATTAATTTTGAGCAATTGGGCCTGGAGCCTTGTTGCTAAGAAAGAGAATAACAGAGTTGTTGGAAGGGTCGATTTAATTAGCTTAGTGTTTTGTGATGAATTAAGAGTCTTGTGATGAATTGATTGATTGGTTTGGTTTGGGGGCAGACATCTGACACCCCCGTCTTGCCGGCTCAAAACACAGTGAAGCCATTTCCATCTTCCCTGGTCAAACTATGAGATGGACAACAGTGTGCAAACTTCTCTCTTCTCATTCAGACTTGATTGCTGCAACCTCTCGTGTGGTGTGCAGCTGTTAAGCCCGCCTCCTTTTGCACATGACAATACAAACAATTCCCCCCTCCCTTCCGAAAACGGTGTGCAGAGTGCAGTGCGCAAAGGAGCCAAGTGAGTTGGTGCTGAGTCACGAGTGAGTCAGCAGATAAAGCTCTAGTTAGTAGATGTTTAAGCAAACAATGACCCAAAGCTCATTTATTGTGGCTTTCCTGAACTCCAGGTGGAATACCGCTTTTAATTTCCAGATTGGATACTCTCGGGTTTTGTTTTTGTTTTGAAATATTTTTTAATTTTAAAACAAAACATAAAACATCAATCCATCATCCATTACAACTGCAAACAGTGTGTCTATCGGTTACAAGTCTTTGGTGCTTCATTCCCATATTCAAAATTTAATAATTCTCTTAATTTCTCGTATATCAAACAAATAAGTATCCTCATTTATCCTTTATTTAACGATGGCTTTATCGCTTCATAAAAATTATTTTCAAATATTATATTTATAAAATTCATTTCATGTTTCGTATTTCATTTCCACGTTTTGTTATCTAGCCATAGATAAAAATAAATCCCATATCTTATAATATTGTTTATCTTCTTGTTCTCTAATTTCAAATGTCGATTTACTCATTTCAGCACATGTACTCTTGGGTTTTTAATCGTTTAAGCATCCTTCTTCCCTGCAAAGCCCCTGAGTTGTTTGTGTAGAAGAAATCTAGTTTGATGAAGAGAAGGACTAGGGGAGACAGGATAGCAGTGTTCCAATATTTAAGGGGCTGCCACAAAGAAGAGGCAGTCAAACTATTCTCCAAAGCCCCTGAAGGCAGGACAAGAAGCAATGGGTGGAAACTAATCAAGGAGAGAAGCAACTTAGAACTAAGGAGGAATTTTCTGACAGTGAGAACAATTAATCAGTGGAACAACTTGCCTGCAGAAGTTGTGAATGCTCCAACACTGGAAATTTTTAAGAAGATGTTGGATAACCATTTGTCTGAAGTGGTGTAGAGTTTCCTGCCTGGGCAGAGGGATGGACTAGAAGACCTCCAAGGTCCCTTCCAACTCTGTTATTCTATTCTATTCTATTCTATTCTATTCTATTCTATTCTATTTTATTCTATTCTATTCTATTCTATTCTATTCTATTCTATTCTATTCTATTCTATTCTATTCTATTCTATTCTATTCTATTCTAAATCACACCATTTCATAGGGCATTCTAAGTTACAACACCCAACAGCTAAAGCACTATTCAAACCTTGCAGTTGGGCTGTGTTTGCACACAGCTCACTTAACTTGGTTACTGAGTTACTCACTTTCTGGGTTTGGGCAAATAATTAGTGAAAGCAAGTTGAGTTTTCACAACCTGCTAAGCTACTAAAGTACAGTATTTACCAATGTTAAAGTTAACCAATCAGGAATAAAACTGCTGGCTATTCATCTGTGTGTTGTGTAAGTGTTCCTGGCTTACAACCATTTGTTTAGTGAGTGTTTGAAGGTACACCAGCACTGAAAAGTGTGTCCTAACGATCGGTCCTTGAACTTATGACTGTTGTGGCGGCTCCAGGGTCACGTGATCAAAACTGGGGAGCTTGACAACTGATGTGTATTTACAACGGTTGCGATATCCTGAGTCACGGGTGCACCGTTCATGAACTTCCCAGCCAGCTTCTGTTAGAAGAAACATCCTTCTGGGTTCAGCTCCAAGTGGGGAAAAAGACGCTGGAAACATGGAGACTGCTTGGAAAGATGGTTTAATGGTGGACAGGATCACATGGTTTGAGTTCCTGAACAGAAAAAGGGCGGAGATGCTGCGAGTCCCCGGGTTTTATGCCCTCTCTGGCTTTGAACTTCCTGGGGCCCAGAAAGAGTATCCTGATTGGTTGTCAGACTCCCAGGGGGTGGGGGAGGGGTCTTAGCTAGCCTTGCTGGCTGATGTAATCTTCCCAGGTGCCATGTGGTGAGTTTCTGTTGCTAGATGGGTCCTATTGTGTTGCAGATGATGGTCCATTGACAAAGGTGGGAGGGAATTGGGTTTCTGCCTCTGGTCCATTGACAAAGGGTGGGGGGAGAGCAAGAAGGTGGGAGCTGCTTCGTCTTTAAAACATGCTTCTCCATTTCCCATCCAGGGAAACATAATATTCTGCCTTTTTAATATTTCCTAAAATATTTCATTCTTCTAGGAAAGGGGTGGGTGCTAACTTCCCACACTTCCAACAAGCAAAGTCAGTGTGGGAAGTTGGGTTTGCTTAATGGCCATGCGATTCACTTAATAACTGCAGTGATTCACTTAACAACCATGGCACAAAAAGTCATAAACTCGGGCCACAACTGACTTCACCACCACCTTGGTTAGCAACGGAAATTCTGGACCCAATTGTGGTCATACGTCAAGGACTTCCTATATAGTGAGGAAAAGAAGGGCCAGAGCAGGTACCCAAAATGTCTTCCGATGTGCTCCACCATCTTGGAGTCCTTTTGTGGAAGTAAGTTCAGTTCATTGGGGATATCTTCAGAGGTGGCATTTAGCCAGTTCGCATCAGTTCAGGTGAACCGGTAGTGGCCACCTGCAGGTGGGCCCGCCTGGCGCAATCCCGTCTTATATTGCTCTGGTTTTGATGCCGCATGTATGCAAGGATGGCGGGTGTGAGCGAATTGCCGCGTTGTTTGACATCGCACGCATGTGTGGACAGCATGCATGAGCAAATTGCCATGTTTTGTGATGCTGCACGCATGTGCGGACGGCGCGCACGAGTGAATTGCCATGTTTGACATTGTACGCATGTATGGATGGCGTGCATGAGCGAATTGCCGTGTTTTGTGATGCACGCATGTGTGGATGGCGCACATGAGCGAATTGCCGTGTTGTTTGACATCGCACACGTGGATGGCGTGCATGAGTGAATTGCCGTGTTTTGTGAT